AGGCACCCACCATCATGCCCGGGTAATTTTTCTATTTTTAGTAGACACAGGATTTCACCATGTTGGCCAGGCTGGTCTTGAACTCCTGATCTTAGGTGATCCGCCCACCTTAGCCTCCCAAAGTACTGGGATTACAGGCGTGAGCCACCGCACCTGGCCAAAATTATATGTTATATGGCATCTCTGATCATAAACCAGCTAATTTAGTTAAGAAAATATATTTTATGGGAGACTTCTGGGCAGCTCACAGAGTTGGAGAAGCTGCAGTGAGAGCCTGGGGTGGGAGTGGAGAGAGAATGCTCCTTGAAGGTGTATCTGTGCAAAGAGAAAGAAAGAAGGGTATAGGCCAAGGGAAAGTATGAAGAAACGCATATAGTGGGAAAAATATAGACAACTTTAGGGACATGCAAACAGCCAGGTATGCCTGGTACACAGAATGCTTAGGAAATGCTGAAGACCAGAAGCTGAAAAGACCAAGGAGAGAATGCCTAAATACGAGGCAAGATGTCACTTCATCCTGTAACCAATGAGGAGCTCCTCGGTGTTTTAAAAATCCTACTTGCGTTTTAGAATGCTCACTGTGGCAGCAGCATGAGGAATGAATTTGAGGAGGAAGAGACAGAAGTTTCTAGTCTGTGGGGAAAAGGACAAAGGATGAAAAGGGCGATGGAATGTGAGAGTTGCTGCAGGTATTTTCCTCAGGAAAGGGGCACTGGAAGTGTCCTACATCCTCTGCAGCAGCCTGTCAAAGGCCAAGTCATCAACATATGCCAGGATCTCTCTACTCTGGCCTTTTCAAGGGCCGCAGTCCTGCCATCATGCCCCTGGCCCACACTAACATGCAAACATACTCTGGTATCTCATCTATAAAAATATTTTTGATGCCCTAGTTTCCTTCCCAGTCTATCTATTCTGTTTCCTTAACTGGGGCTTCTCTCCTCGAAGTCTTCTCATGGTTGCTTCATATTGTTCCTGGACCAAACTGAGCATCAGGCTGCTTATTGTTACAGCCCAATAACAAGATGCAGATGAAATGGGAAAAGAAGGGAGTTTATTTCTGTAACCAGGTACAGGAAGAAGGCCTGGAAAATGTTGCCAGACCAACTCAAAATTACAAAGCTTTCCAGAACTTATATACCTTCTAAGCTATATGTCTACATGTAAGTGTGTATGCATCTAAAGACACAAGTGATTAACTTCTAATCTATAACTAAGGTCTGAGTTTTGAAGATCTTCCTCTGAAAGTAAATTACTTAAATTGACTTAAATTTAAATTACTTAATCTAGATGGGTCCAGGTGCTGGGGGCAATCTTGTCTCCTACTAAATCATGGAGGTTTGGGGAGTTCCTTTAGATCCCCAGTAAAACTTGTTTGTAGAGGTCTTGGAAGTTTCTTCAGACCCCCAATAAAACTTGTTTAATCCTAAACGGGTCCTGTTAAGAATTCCTTCATTATCTCACCATGCTTCAAGGCCCAGGAAAGACCTAGGTAAAACTCTTGGTGGGCTTTTGTTACATTCCAGCCTTTGTATAAGGGCACTGGCTCTTTCAGCTTTTAATATTTAACTTCACCACTCAGTCAGTGCTGAAACAGTTGTTAGAGGTTTGCCTGTTCAGCTGTTAGTGAGACCTGGCCTGCCACCATATGGCCATCACGTCTGCCATCTAGGAAGCATGAAGGGAAGATGATAGCTGAGTCTGTCCCTTTAAGAGAGATTAGATAGAAACTCCAGCCAGTGAATTCTACTTACATCTCACTGGTTTCCCGAAATAGCAAGGGAGGCAGGGAAATAGTTTTCTAATTAAACATTCTGCTATCCCAAAACAGAAATAAGGAAGAAGGGGAGAATGGGTATTTGGGAAACAACCGGGAATGCCTGCTGCACTTCCTGTGACCTCACATGTCCTTCTAAGATACCTCCTCCATTCCTCTCTTGCTAATATGCTTTCTGAAAAGATATATCGATGTGTACTATGTTCACTTCCTTACTTCCCATTCTTTCTTCCAGCAGTCTGGGTTCTACCCACACCACACCATGGTGCTAAATCCAATGGGCAGACCACTCACTGTTCCTCATGCTCACCTTCTCTGTAGCATTCAAATACTTCTCTAAGAAACATTCTCCTTCCTCTCTTAGCTTCCTCAGCACCATGCTTTTGTTTTTTCCCCACCCCGCTGGCCATCCCTCATTCTGCCACTAGCTCCTTCTTCTTTATTCAATCTTATTCAGGTCAAGACTCACTCCTGCCCTTCTCTCTGATCTCATCCAGTGCCACAGCTTTAAACCGTGTCTGTATGCTAACAACCCCAAGCTCATATCTGCGGCCAAGACCTCAGATCTGGTCTCTAGTCTCAGGCATTTAGTCAACTACTTGACATCTTAAACTGGCTCTCTTGCAAACATAGCATGCCCACACTGAAGCGCTCCCTGACTCCCACTGTAGACCTGCCCTTGCCCCCTCTCAGAAAATGGAATCTCTGCTTGCCCAGTTTCCAGACCAAAACACAGAAAAATTAATTTTGAACCCTTTGTCTCCCTCACTTTTGATATCCAGTCCATGATCAAGTCCTGCCAGTTCAACTACAAATATTTTGTCAATTTATATTTATTCTCACTACCACCACCCCAGAACATGCCAGCATCAACTCTTTCCTGGACTACGTCATATCTTCCTGTTTCCCTCCTCTCCACTCTTGCTTGCCTTCAATCCAATCTACAGAGGGAGCCGAAGTGATCTTTTAGAATTGTAAATTGGACCATGTTTTTCTGTACTCAGAATCCCACAATGCATTCCTATTGAGTTTAGTAAAGTTGAAGCTTCTAATCTACATCCTACACGTTCCTTCCATTGCCTGCCTTAATCAGCTTTCCCCTCACTGTATACTGATCGTTCTTGTATCAGATCCTGAAACACACTAAGTTCTTCATCATGCTAGAAACCTAGAATTTGCAGTTCCCTCTGCCTGGAAGGTTCTCTTTGCTCCCCACATGACTAGCTACCCTGCACATAGTACCTTGCCTGCAACTCACTAGGCATTCTATCTGTTAAATGAGTGATTGGAATAAAAAGATAAGCATGTAATATTACATTTAATCTATCTAAAACCTTTAGAAGTTATATACTTTTAATCCTCATTTTATAGATAAGAAAACTGAGGCTCAGAGAAATTCTATAACTTCCCCAAGGATTCCCAAGAAGTAAGCAGAGAAACAGGACTTCAAAGCCAGGTCAGGCAGGTAGCAGAGCCTGTTCTTTTCTTCCACATGAGGCTGCTTCCACACACACACAGTCTCTGCAGAACATCAGCCACTCTGATGGGTCATCTTTGTGCTTTTGAGCTAACCAGAGAGTTAAGAAAATGCCAGTTGCTTAATATGAGACAAAAATTGAAAAGTCATCCCAGAGTTCATTATCTTACCACAGCTATTATAATTGCAACTCATTAAAAACCTGATTCTGAAGGCAGGAAGAAATCATTTGCTCAGCAACAAGTCCAGAGTCCCTATTAATGCAGAAGAAGTCTTTAATAAGAAAAGTATCTGTTTCCATGAAGGATGGAGAAAATACTGAAATTGGTCCAGGTCCTTTGCAACTTCCTGGATACATTTTACATCTCTCAAAGACTGCAATTGTGTATAATAGCCAGTTTAACCATAAATATTTCCTGGTTGGCTAGCTACATTTTTTTTCTCTTTCATATCGATTGATCTGAGCAGGAAGGTCGGGAAGGGTGAAGTTAGGCTACAAATCAAAAGTTGTAACCCTCCTTTTACTGCCATTTACAATTACTACCTACTTTATATTATTCTTGGCACTTCGATGAGCATTTTAACTCCAATAAGACTTGCTGTTAAGAAACTTTCTTAATTGTGTTTTACCCAGATTTCCTACACTTATATGACCATGGAATTCTTTATTCATTGTATGTGTAGATTGTCTCTAGGATTGGCCACCACCAGTTTCTCTTATCCCTGTATGCACGGGCTGATCCTCCCATCAACAGTCCATATCCCCACCCCTTGAATCTAAGCTGGCCTTGTGATTTACTTTGTTCCATAGAACGTGGCAAGAGTGATGCTGTGTCTGTTCTGGACCTAGCCCTTAGGAAGCCTGCCAGATTCTTGTTTTGCTCTCTTAGAAACTGGCTTCTATGTAAGAAGTTTAACTACACTATTGGATAAAGAAATCTACCTAGTCACCAGCCTCTCCAGCCACCTCAGCTGAGTGAGTGGAGCCTTCTTAGATGTTCTAACCCCAACCAATTTCCCAGCACAATACAACCAGGTAAGAGAATCCAGCCAAGACCACACAGAATACAAAACAATATAGTTGAAGCCAAGCAACCTGCAGAATCTTTAAAAACAATAAATAGTTGATACTCTAAGCCACTAGTTTTTGAAGTGGGTTGTTACACAGGCATGGAAAACTAATACAATATACCACAGATCTCATGTTGTTCCCAACAATTGTTTTTGGAAAATCCCTTTATTCTGTGAATAAAAAACTGAGGTCCAGGGAGCTCCATTTGGGAAGTGACTTTCCCAAGATCATCTAGTTAGTTGAGGCAGAACCTAGCTCACCTGATGACCTGTCCAGGGCTCTGTCCACAACACTTGCTGCCACTGTCAATTAACAGAACTTTCCCAGAATGATTGTTCCTGATCTGACGGTTGGTTTACTGAACATATTCAGACCTATCGATCGATAGATAGATAGATAGATAGATAGATAGATAGATAGATAGAGATTTTTTTTTTTTTTTTGAGACAGAGTCTCACTCTATTGGCCAGGCTGGAATATAATGGGCAATCTCAGCTCACTGCATCCTCCGCCTCCCAGGATCAAATGACTCTTCTGCCTCAGTCTCCTGAGTAGTGGAGCACCTGCCACCTAACCCAGCTAGTTTTTGTATTTTTAATAGAGATGGGGTTCTACCATGTTGGCCAGGCTGGTCTCAAACTCCTGACCTCAAGTGATCCACCCACCTCAGCCTCCCAAAGTGCTAGGATTACAGGCTTGAGCCACCACGCGCAACCTGAACATATTCAAGTTTTAAGTCATTTGAGACTCTTAGAACCATGAAGCCATCTAGTTCAATCTAGACTCATAATTGTAGTTTTTCTTCCCATAATTATAGTTTTATTTACTTTTCTAATTCTTCTTCTTGAGGACTCTCCCCTTATTCCTATGGTTTAGGCAGAAGCTCCTTCCTCTCATAATAACAGTTAAATAACAGTAAAGAGCTCATCTTCTGGAATCAACTGCTCTGAATTCAAGTCCCAGCTTCACTTACTGGTTTAGGCAAGTTCATTCAGCTCTCTGAGTCTCAACTTCCTCATCAACAAAATGAAGATACAAAAGTGTCTGCCATATTTATTTATTAGTATTTTAATTTTGTTGTGTTGTTATTTTATCATTAGAAATTTTTCTTTCTTTTTTTTTGGTAACCAAAGGCAAACTGTCAATCAGGATTTCTGATGCTCACAGGTAAATCAGTGTTACCACTGTGAGCTAAAATAATTATTGCTTAAAGACAAGAAGATTGATGTGTTGGCTCATCTAAGTGGACTTCTGTAAGTAAATGGTTAGTGTGTGCTGGGTTTGGGAAGATACTAGTGTAGGAGAGGAAAAAATTATTCTTTGTACACCCTCCTGGGTTCTCCATATGGGACCCTATAAATTGGACTGGCAAAAGACCGATTATTGAGAAAAACATACAAATTTATTTAATATAAGTTTTACATAACATGGGAGTCTTCACAAGGAAATAAAGATCTGAAGAAACGGTTATGCCTGGGTGTTTTTACACTAAGTTTGGTGAAGAGTAGAAAGTGATAAAATAAGAGTATGAGCTAAGGATAATAAATTGGGAAAAACTTATCGAGGCCTGTTTGTTCATATTATTCTTGGCATGTTCAGAGATAAGGATGTTCCTTTCTTCCAGGTATAGGAAGGGCACCTCTCACATGAGTCTTATGACCTACTTCAGGGGAGAAAACCTGCTCTTCCTCAAATTCCTTCAGCTTAAAGTATTCAGTACATGAAGGCACCATATTTTGAGTAGCCTATTCTGAACCTTTTTTCTAGAAAGGACTTGAGATCCCTTATTTACAGCAACCCCTAGGGAAGTATTGACCCAAAGAACATCCCTTCCAGTTTGATGGCCTGAAAGTTTTCAGACATTCTCCTTCCTCTGTAAATCCCCTGCCAACAGGGCCATGGCCTCTAAGGAGCTACTGTGGGCCCACATTTCCTCCGTGGGCTACACTCGCCAATGAGATGACCCCAATGTATGAATGACGGAAGGGCAATCTGCAGGGCTATGGTTCGGTTCCCAGGAATAAATGTGTGTGATCTGTCTACCATCTGGATCCCTCCAATGCTCTTTCTATCAGAGTTGATCTTTGAAGGATAGTTAAGCATCATCCAAGTAAAGGGGGTTTGTGAGAGAGCCAAGTAAAAAGAGGTCCCCAGAGAACTTCCGACCAACCTGCGCACTGAGAGGAGTGCACACTGGGGTGAAACCTCTGGAAGTTCACACCGCTTGCAGCCGAGAGGAGCCTGGCCTCTTCTGTTCTGGGGTGGTCACCTGGGAATTCAATCTGTGAGATTAGTGTTTTTTCTTTTTTCCTTTTCACCCAATAAATTCCATCTTTCCTACCCTTGTATGTATCCATGAGCTTCATCCTTCCTGGTCGTATGACAAGAACCCCATTTTTAGCTGAACTAAGGAGAAAGTCCTGCGACATTTGGAGGACAGTAGTATCTCAAGGGTATAGGGTAAGCAAAGTCCCTGGTTGCTAAGTGTTCTATCAGAAAGCATGGTTAAAAAACAAACAAACAAAACTCCATTAAGAACCACAGCATTTCAGAATAACCTTTCTAAGTGAAAGTTCGCCCATCAACATCTCAATGACTGCATTTCTTCAGGAAGTAATAAACTTCTACTGGCATTGGGATTCAAACGTCAGAGTGAAGTACTCTCTGACATTTATAGTTTTAGGTTTGTTTTTCAAGTCTTTGCGTTTCGTGGTTAAGAGATGTTTTTCTGACTAAGCTTGATAATTCTTCCCCACCCCCCACCACACTTTCAACTAAATGAGAAACAACCTGATAATCTCCACAGTTTTGGTTCTTAACTTTTCATTATTATCATCCTAAACTCTATAAATAGTTTCAACCCACTATGCCTAAATCTCTGTAAACGCCTACCTCCCTGCCTTTGCCAATGTGACGTTCTCTGCCAGTTGTCTTCTTTCCAGCCTCTCCTCAATCTCCATTTGTCCTACCTGTCTTTCTTCGAAGTTGACTGCGAGCATTTTTCAACCACTCTTAGAACTTCTGCCTCATATTAGTGTCATGGTAAAGAATATCAGCTTTGGAATGAGTCTGTTTGTACTTCAACTCCGGCATTTATTACGTGTACTACCTATGTTAAATTAATCTCTCTAAACCTCAGGTTCTTCATTTATAAAATATAATGTAACTGCCCATTGGATTCACCTTGCCTGCTGCCTACCCAGAGCCTATTTATCAAGAAGAGAATTGCAATGACGAAAGTAATTCATGCAGAGCAGGCTGTGCGGGAAACCAGTTTTATTATTACTCATATCAGTCCCCAGAGCATTGGGGGATCAGAGTTTTTAAGGATAAGTTGGCAGGTATGGGCTAAGAAAGTGGAGTGCTGATTGGTCAGTTTGAAGATGAAATCACAGGGGGGTCGAAGTGAGTTCTTCTTGCTGACTTCCGTTCCTGGGTGGCATCGCAGAATTGGTTGAGCCAGATTATTGACCTGGATGGTGGTGTCTGCTGCGGGAATGCAGGGGCTGCAAAATCTCTCAAGCACTCATCTTAGGTTTTGCAACAGTGATGTTATTCCCAGAAGCAATTTGGGGAGGTTCAGACTCTTACAGCCAGAGGCTGCATGGCCCTGGAGCCATAATCTCTAATTTTGTAGCTAATTTGTTAGTCTGACAAAGACAGACTGGTCCTCAGGCAAGAAGGGTTTTTTTGTTTTTCTGCTTTTTGATTTTTTTTGGAGGAAAGGACTATTAGCAATATTTTGTTTCAGAGTTTAAACTATAAACTAAATTCTTTCCCAAGGCCTATGCCCAGGAATGAACAAAGACAGTTTAGAGGTTAGAAGGAAGATGGGGTTGATTAAGTCTGATCTCTTCCACTGTCGTAATTTCCTCAGTTATGATTTTTGTAAAGGCAGTTTAAATAATAATAGCACTTGAGTCATAGAAGTCATTGTGTAGACTAAATTAAAAAATGATCATAGGTGTATTAGTCAGGGTCTCAACAGGAACTAGACCACACATTCATATTATAATTTGGGAGGGTTTGCAAAGATGAGGGCAGGAGGAGTGAGGGGTACATTGCAAGAGCTGATGGTTAAATTTTCAGAAATTTTTGCAAACAAGTTGTTAAACATTACTAAAAATTAAATTTTTTAAACAGAATTAAATAAGTTATATTTTTAAAAAGGTAATAAATATTCAAAACATTATTTCCTAATTACCATATTACCTTCTATTATATATGTTCTTGGGGGTACTTCTATTATATCTCTATGGTAGGAACATTATATAACAGTATGCTACTGTGCATCTTTTCCCAACTTCATGCTCAATGACATGCCATTGGTACCTTGAAATCAGCCAAGGCAGGAGTATTTACACCACAGAAATTGGCAAATTCTACAACTCGGGCCTCCTTCTCCCAATCTTGCCCCCAGTCCCCAAGGAGACCCAGTTATTAGGTTGGTGCAAAAGTGATTGAGGTTTTGCCATTGAAAGTAATGACAAAGTAATATTAAGTAATATTAAAACATTTACCAGCAGGAGCAAGTTTAGGAAAACCACAGGGATCTTATAGTACCCCATGGCTGTTAGCACCTCCGGGTCCAAAAAGATAAGAGGGAGCAGTTATCAGAATCTGGAAGAAAAAGGTTATGAAGAAAAATCAGACAGGCACTGTAACCTCTTGGGTAAAGAAACATCACTAACCAGAAGTGACCCTGGAAAAAAGAGAACCACGGGAGTAAATCTGACTTCACTCTTCTCTCTGCTTCTAGGACTTCACTTTCCCACCTCCTTCCAAGGTCAAACCAAACAGATATTAGAGGACAGAGGAGCCCATACAGGTCAGTTTCTGGAGCAGAGAGAAGGGTGAGAAGGGTTAGAGAGTAGGGCTTGAGGGACAGATGGAAAATATCTAGACTAACAAAATAGTGCTGTATCTGGCACATAGTAGGAGCTCATTAATATTTTCTATTATGGTTAGTTCAATTCAATAAAAATTTATTAAATATGCCAAATACCTTTCTCTCAAGAAGTCCACAGTCCAGTGCAGAGGTGTATAGATTCCACATCAGTGTACAAAGTACTATTATTAACGAAGAAAGATATGTCTGTCTTTCCTATTAGATGACAAATACCTATAAAGTAGAAACTATAAAAATGATCAATTAGTATCTGCCTGTCAAATGAATATATTTTTATTTCCCCTCAGTGCCCAGCACTGTTTCTTATAGAACCTTTAAAGACTTGCCTTTACACTTCATTAAGTGGGACCAGAGCAGCCTTTAGTGCATGGTAATTTTTCCCTACTACCATGGCAAAAACCTTCATAGTACTTTGCTCACTGTCCCATGAATTACGGTATTTTTCACTCAGACTCACGAAAAATGAAACTATTTCAAGCTCTGTGTGATCGCCAAGGATTTTTCCCTCTGTTCTTTCAGTAGTTCTTACCATGACCTCACTTAGTTTTATTAGTTCTTATACACATGTGCTGATCAGTATTCAGCTAAAGACTCAAGGGGGAAATCCTCTGTAGTTCTCTGGACAGGTCTGTCCTCTAGCTTTCTTGTGACCTTCCAACTAACCACTTTGGCTTCCCTGGATTTCCCAACTCCATCTCCTCATCTCAAAGTCTTCTGGTTCTGGCTTGGTTCTTGCCTGCATTCTGCTTGGAAACTCTCCAGTCTGGGGCAATCACAAGGCTCATGTTATTTGTTTCCTCTTTCTCAGAGGAATCACTGTTGTACGTTTTCTGAGAAAACCATGTTTCTTATATTTTATCAAGTCCCTACTACTTCTCTACTCCTGTAAAATGACCTTTACTGTTTATTTGCTTTCAGCCTTAACCAAATGCTGATTCTTCTTTATCATATTTGACAATGTCTCTAATTTCACACAGATCAAGGAACCCTCATGAATGGGATTAGTGCCCTTAGAAGAGGGGCCCCAGAGTGATCCCTTGACCCTTCTGCCATCTGACAACCATCCATAAGGAAACAGGTTCTCACCAGAAACCAAAACAGCCAACACCTTGATCTTGAACTACCTACCTCTAGAATTTTGAGAAATAAGTTTCTGCTGTCTACAAGCTACCCAGTCTATTCTATTCTATTACAGCAGCCCCCAGTAGACTGAGGTCTATTTGGTTCCTAGAGAGGGGTTGCTTTCTGGCTTGTAGACAACCATCCTCTTGTGCTCACAAGAACCAGCAACTGGGCATCCAACATAAAATGCCTCCAATACTAGGTTATGAGTGCCCTGGCCACGTAAAACTCACCTTTTCCTCTAGCCCTCCCTGTGTACTGAGCCTGACCAGAAACACAGCTGCATTAGTGAAAGAAGGCTTCTTCTATGGCTTCTGAGCTGGAGTTAGGATATTAAAAAATGTTAAATTAGATGAGATTTTACAGCTTTGAAATAGAATGGGCAGGGCTTTTAAACCAGGGAGCAACAAGGAGAACTTTGGGATATATTTAAACATGAGTTGTTGAAAAAAAAATATGTTATTCTCTACATGTCAGGAGTCCAGCTTATTTAATAACCTGGCTACACATGTGCCCCTCCTTATGAAGGAGTGCTGAGATCTGTGGTAGAGTATGGTAATGGGAGCAGAATCTTTAGGGTCAGACCAAACTGTGCATTCTGCCCAAGCCAGCACTTGATAGATGGGTGGCATGAAAAAATACTACATTGTGTTCTTATCTATATAATGGGAATAATAATCATCTCTACTCTACTTAATATGGTTATTGTAAGAGTAAAATTTGATAAGATATGAAAGCCAGCATTTAAACTGTACTATCTAAAACTCATAAGATTTATACTGATATTCATGGTAACATTATTATACTAATGAAAATGGGAAACAACCAGAATTGTTTGAAAATAGAAGCATGATTAACCAAACTGTAGCATATCTTACAACTGAACGTTCATTTCTGTACACACCACATACACACACACACACACACACACACACACACGCTTTTTCTCTTCTGAATGCCCATTATGGTATGTATGCATTTGTCCCTTGACACCATTAATGAGTAGGATCCCCAGACAATAGAGAATCATTCCATTCCCAGAGAGAGGAGACTTGCTGAATAAAATCAAAACATAGTTGCATTAGAGGCCTTTAAGACAACTCGACTTACTACTGTTGTCTAAAAATGAAATATGTCATGAATCATGGAGACTTGCAACTGCCCCCAAATTCTAATTTTATACCATTTCTCTTCTAGAAATCATCAAACCATATACCGTGCTGGCACTGAAAACATCTGTCTTTGATGTTTCACTTGGCCTGTTTTTAGTGTTTATAAGAAGCAATCTGTCGGGTCAGTTCAGAGGGGTATAAATTCATTTTCTCATGACATAACCAGAAGCACTTTCTGCACCGTCAGTCAACACATCCCATTTCCCTGTCACCATCTGTTGCATTGCCTAGCCCAGACTGCTTTCGTACCACAACTCTGTCAGCATTGGGCATACTCATCAGAGCTATAAATACAGATTCTGATTGTTACTGTTTGGGGAAGAAGTCTACTCATGATAAGAAAGCCATGAAAGTGAGGTCATGGATCAAGCCATTATGAAGTCAGGGGTCTTATCTCCTAGCACTTTAATAGCCAGCAAACACATCTGTTTCTGTAATCCAGCTAGTGGAGGATTAAGCTGTAAGTGTTGGAGACCCTGACCCTAACAACGTTATCTTTCTCCCAGAGCCTGATACCTTTAAAGTAGCCAATCCCAAACCTCACCTGCTTTTGGACTCTACTCATTGCCTGACTGGTAATGGACTTCCCAGCCCCTCTTTATTTGCTAGTGTGACATTTGTAAAATTTAATGGTTCACTTCTAGGAAAATGTGAAGAAACACTGCCCATGCTACTCAAAGTAATGTCAAAAATAACTCAAGTCTCTTACTTGCATGTAATTTTTTTAAATCCCCCTTTATTCTCTCCTATCCACTGCCCTCCCCTCTTATAGCTGGTCCCTTTTATTTCCTTTAACCCTTCCCCCCAGTTCTTCTGGGCCGCCTCAGCACACACTTCTTGGAATTCTGCTCCCTCTCCCCTCCCTTCCATGTTATTCATAAGAAAGGCTGGAAACTGGTATGGCAAGTAGACCTCTGCTCCAGGGCAGGGAAGATGATAAGTTGGGGGCTTTCCCACTTTAATGGATGCAGCTCATCCCACCAGCACCACAGAGTGATCAGAGCTCTGCTCCAGTGTAGCCAACGGGTAATGGCAGCAGCCATTTTGAAGAGCAGTCCGTAGTTCAGGAGGAACTATTAACGAGAATGTTAATGTTCTCCTTGGTGTTGCTGGTTGAGAACTATGGTCTTAGGTTGCCCATAAGGAGAAACTCCATCTCCCCATCCTTCTCTGGCTGTGATCCAGGAGGGCAGACAAAGGGTTGTGGGAGGAATGGGAGGCAGCAGAGGCTGATGTCAGGCCAGGACTTACCAGCAAAGCCTTGCAGGATGGCTCTTTCAGTGCTAACTTACTTCTAGCAGATTGTGTCCATTGTGTTAAACCTAACAAATCTCTTTTGTTTTTTCTGTTTCCCATCTAAAGACAAAGAAGTTTTAATGTTATTTCTGAAAACCATGAAGTAGTAGGACGAACACATCTAGTCAAAGATGAGACAGCATTTTTTTTTTTTTTTTTTTTTGAAACGGAGTCTTGCTCTGTCGGCCAGGCTGGAGTGCAGTGGTGGTGCGATCTCGGCTCCCTGCAACCTCTGCCTGCCGGGTTCAAGTAGCCCTCCAAATGACTTAGACAAAATTGCCTACGCAGCCATTTACAATGGTGTCTTTGAAGAATATTGAATGGCATGAGGGAAATGCTCACAAAAAAATAAACAGGATACAAACTGAAGTGTTACAGCATAATTCTGCTTGCTTAACGAGAAAAGACATGCACCTGGAAAAAGATGTTAGCCATTGTTTATCCCTAGCGCTGTATGATTTTTTTTACTTTTATTTATTTATTTATTTCCAAGGGTTTTATTGTTTTAAGCAAACGTTTAAAAAATAAGTAAAACAGGCCGGGCGCGGTGGCTCAAGCCTGTAATCCCAGCACTTTGGGAGGCCGAGACGGGTGGATCACGAGGTCAGGAGATCGAGACCATCCTGGCTAACACGGTGAAACCCCGTCTCTACTAAAAAATACAAAAAAAAACTACCCGGGCGAGGTGGCGGGCGCCTGTAGTCCCAGCTACTCGGGAGGCTGAGGCAGGAGAATGGTGCAAACCCGGGAGGCGGAGCTTGCAGTGAGCTGAGATCCGGCCACAGCACTCCAGCCTGGGCGACAGAGCCAGACTCTGTCTCAAAAAAAAAAAAAAAAAAAAAAAAAAAAAAAGTAAAACATACCCCCGAGAATGAGCAGCTCTCCAGTGGCCCACAGGTGCTCAAGGATATGTCCACTGAAGCTCCCTTGTGCCCTGCACTTCTCCCAGGATTCCCAGCTCACCATCATGCTCACCCTCATCTCTGATCAGCACCTATTCCCAAGGACCTAACTTGGCCTACACCCTGAACTTCCGGGGAGACATAGATAAGGATGGTTGAGCAGCAGATACACAGAGAGAAAGGAAAGGGAAAGGAGAAAAGGGGGCTGCTGCACTCGTTTAGGTAGAAACTGACAGCAAGATGTTCTGGGTCACATCAGCTTCTGTAGGAGGTAGAATAAAGCATCTGGAGAAACCTCTTAAGACATAAACTCAAGAGCATCACTGCATAAAGCTAAATTTGGCTGCTTCATTTCCATGGGAACAAATATAGTTCTAATCTTAATGCCTTTTTTTTTTAATTAAGGGCAATTTGTGGGCGATATGATCATCTTCAATAAGCCTGTAAACATTTGCAAAAATCAAGGCTGGTAGCCAAGGGACCTTTTTGAATGCACCCCAAAGTGGAGTCTGGGTCTTTAGTCTTGCAAGTTTAGAGCCCAATTTTGTCAGCTCACCAAATAGCACCATCTCTCAGGTATGCACTCATCCAAATAAGCTCATAAGAAACTGATAACATAAATGCAAATTCATTCATTGAAAATCAAAATTATGTTAAATATAGAAGTACCATATAATCCAGCAATTCCACTCTTAGCCTATGTCACTCAGTAGCCTATTTTCTGTATGTACCACA